ACCAAAGATAAATTGTTGTGTAGATAAATAGCATAAATATTATGTAATTTTCTCTGATTTTAATAATATGAGTTGAAACTTATTTTACAATTTGAAGATTTCACATTTAAATTGAAAAAATTTAATCTGAGTTTTTTGCGATAAAATACTAAGTATATATATACATTACTGTTCCTATATCTTGTTAATAAAAAATTAAAAAGAAATTGAATTATTTCTAGTAAGCATAAAAACACAATGCAAAACAATGAAATCTTTTTATAAGTGTAAATATGTATATATAAATAAAACATTGACAAGACTATTAAAAAGTAAACAATTTAAAGATCAAAGAGTTTGTAATTCTACAATTACAATATGATTAAAGTATAAAAGTATAAAATTAAGTTTAAGTTTTATATATAAAATTATCGAATGTTTGTTTTATGTCTTATAGATATAAATATTTGCCATAAGTATTATTACAAATATATTGCAATAACAAATGTATTTCGATGCGAAATTTTGCGAAGGTACAAATGTAGTAGCTACACGTGACATTTTTGTCGCATTTAACACTTTACAATCATACTTACCTATAAAGTGTCAACATGGCCGAACATCGACAAGCGCTATTTAAAATAAGATTTCAAATCAATGTCTTTCAAAAAGAATTTGCTGTTTTATTGTAGAACAAATTTATTCTTCCAACTACACTTAATAATGTACAATGAAAATGGAAGAAGAAATAAAAACAGACGGAACTTCTGACTATTGCAGAACTACTCTACCGTCACACTTTATTTCTTCCTTTTCTCAATTACATTCGCTATAATATTTATATACCGGATATTCAGTAAAGATCGTAATAACTAAAATGACCAACTCTTAATCAGCCAATTCCGGGATCAATCTTAAAATAAAAAAGAATATTAGGACGATTCGTCACCCCTAGCTAGATTCCTGAGATTATTTTGAGATGAAAACCCTGGTAAAAATTTTTCTCAGAATTTTTAATATAATTTTTCAGAATTTCTGTATAATTTTATAACCTCACATTTTTTATATAAATTGAAACATTTCTTAGAAAATCTACATCTTTTCTCAGAATTTTTCATATATGTTAATTATAAAATATTATAAAATAAGAGTTTTTGTAAATATAATTTTTGATGAAATGTTATAAAATCTAAAAAATTTTAAAATGTTTTTTAAAAATTATGGGATGAGAAATTCCAGAATTCACTTGTATGAAAAATTCTGAGAAAACATGTAAACCTTCCGAATTTTTCTGAGTATTTCTGAAAGATATTTCAATTCGTATAAAAATTACGGAAAAAATTTTCGCAATGTAATACCTGCAAAATGTCAAGGCTATAATAGTTTTTGAATTATAATTAAAGTCAGCGAATCATATCGCTTAAAATTCGCGCGGTCAGATGTGATTGGCACTGATTTTACTTTATACTACATTGTATTAGAATCTTCGTCTTAAAATGGTCTCAAGAATTTACCTTTAAGCGTTGCTACGGTCTTTACCGGACACTTTGTATTTGTCTACAAAAGCGTAACATATTCTTTTAAAAGCGCTAATTGCCAATGATTGCATGTATTTGTTTTTCATGTATGTTTATGTATATATAATTATTATACATATACATATATTATTTATACATACAGTATAAATATATATTATATATATATATAAAACACACATATATTTTTATATTTTATATTATATATATAAATTATTGTGTAATATAATATATAATGTAAAAAATATATATAATTTATGTAAGTATGCGTGCTCGCACCTATGTATACAAATGTATATAAGTGTATATCAAAAGTCTGGAAACGGTCGGATTATTTTTGAGAAAAATGTTTTAGAACAAAAGTTGTAGGAGTTAAAAGGATTCACTGATTACATCTGCTTGACCTTGGATGGCGTTAAGGTCAAATTGATTTTTTGCCATTTGCATCCAATCGATTGAAAAATTCACAATGTAAAGTAAGATACTAAATTCCAGTAAAAAAGCAATGTAAACGATTACAGAATTATATCTTTCGTTTATTTTAAGCAAAGATTGGAAAACGCCGTAATAACAATTGTAGTTATTCACCCAATATGCTAAAAACATAAACAATCGGTCAATCTTGTTTTATCATTCTTAATTAAATACAAATCGACCCACTTTTACATGCAGATATGCTCCGCTCATTCTTTTTTTTTTTCTTTATTTTGTTATAATTACATTTTATTATTTTTGTTCGTATTTATAATTGCGTGTCTCTCACGGATGATTGCAAAACAAAATTCATAATAAACCGATGTTTTAATGGGATATCATATTTTTGATGCCAGAATCTAATAGCTGGTGCCAAGAATTTTTCGAAACTCTATAATAAAGTTATTTTTCATTAAGTATTTTTTTAATTATATGAGGCTTGAAGGTTACATAAAGGTAATACCGCTGGCATTAGCATTAGGCAAGAAATGCAACAAGAAATGCAAGAAGAATCTATAGCTGTGATAAGAAAACTAATAAAGAGAGAATTAACGTACAATCAAATTTCTTCTCTTTTTGTTTTCATCTTTTTTTCTTTTTCAATTTGCAATAATCTCTGCATTTTTAAATGTTCTATACTTTTGATATGATGATAGTGAACATTAAATTCTATTGTATACGAAATACTAGTCAAAATTCCTTATTGCCGGTGGTACTGTAAGCCTTATAACTAGAAAAATATTAAATACTTAGTGAAAAATAACTTTATTATAGAGTTTTGAAAAGCTCTTGGCATCAACTATTAGATTCTGGCATCAAAAATATAGTATCCTATTAAAAAAAATCAATTTGACCTTGATCTGACCTTGGCGATGCCACCCACAGCCAAGCGAATGTGATCAACGAATAGATCTTTTTAAATCCTACAACTTTTGTCTAAAACATTTTTCTTAAAAATGCT